ATATATATATATATTCTCCTCAATGTCTCTGTCATGGAAATGGGTTTTCTTCCTGGAGCTCCTAAGCTCCTAATTAACATATGATATTATATTCAGCATTTTAAGAGGTGTGTCTCTAGGAGGATTTGTTTGACTATGTGCAAGAATTCTAAGGCATTATAAGCAACTGTTGCATAGCACGAGGGCTTCCCGTGCAATGATACACTCTTGATAGATTTAATAAGTCTTTAGTTTTCAAATGTTACTAGCCACAGACAGGGAGGCATTCATAGTCTACAGCATTTGGCTCAAAGGTCAGAAACTCGTTTTGTTTTTAGTGTTTATGGAATAGCACCATAAGAAATCTTTCAGAAACAAATCACTTTGTGCCCCCTCCCACATTGTGGGTTTTTTAACTGAATCCCAAAATAAAGACTAAAGAGGGAGAGAGTTTTCTTATCTCCCAAGGTCTATCTCCCTTCGTCTTCACTGTTTTTAAATACACTAAATACCATGTCAACATTAACAACAATAACCATAACAATAATACACCAACAATAAAAGAAAGATAATAGCAGCAGCAGTAGTAACTGGAGTGGAACCATCCAGGCAGTCATTTAGAAGACTCTGAGCACACCCTGTGGGAGGTTTATCTTAAGGTTCATAAGACATCATGGAGTTTTTGGATTTGGTGTGAAAAGGCAGCACTTCCACAGAAAGAAGTGAGTTTACAAATTAACCAAGCTTTTCCAGTAATTAAATAAATGGTATCTAGGGATTAACTGCATTAGCAGACACTACAGATGTTTCAACCTCATTAAGATGTGAGTACGATAAAGTGGTCACAAAATCATTCATGTGAAAAGGCTAAGCTGACCTGCAGATGAAAGTAATGTAGCTGAAATATTCCAGTTTCCAAACATACTCTCTCTCTCTCTCTCTCTCTCTCTCTCTCTCTCTCTCTCTCTCTCTCTGACACACACACATTCACCCACACATGCACACATGCACAAACATACCAAGTACGAACTATCATCCAAAGACCCCCATTTCACATCATCTTACGTGGATCTGGCTACACTGTGTCTGACCTACAAAGTCAAAGTAATCTTGCTAAGACCCAAGAACTGGGTTTTCCAGTTAATGATCTGACTGATCATTATATGTCCGAAATCTTGAAAAATATTCAAAAAGATCACTTCACAGAATCACAGCCCCTGATTTGAACTGTCTGGAGTATGAGGAGTCTGTTTCAGGCTTTGAAACAAAACTGGTAATCTTCCTTGATGCACGTGATGTTCCTCCACTAGATTTATTCATCAGCAAGAGTAGAGTTCAAACATCGCTGCAATACCAGCCAGGGTTGTCAGGAAAGTTCTCTTTAAGTATAGAGATAACTCTAGGCTTACAGTTTTCTTTTGTTCAAACTCATTATATAAAACATTTATAATAATATTGTCAGTTTATAAAAATATGTCTTCTTCCCATTTGCACACTCCTTTCTGTTCTGACAGAGGTTCTGATGTTATTTTTTGGTATGCATGGTTTCTGGATACCTGATGCTTTTGTATCTGATATAAAACCCTTTCTTATTGATAGTGTCATCTGTGTGAAAATGAATTAAAACCGTGTCTCCAATTGAATAGATTTCTTCTGGTGGCTGAAAGAGAAGAAAAAAGAAAAAAAAAGAAAAAGAAAGTAAGCAACAGAATGAATTAATGCCATGCAAGTTCAATAGCAATTCAGTCTTCCCAAAAACCTTGGAAAGTAGGTATGATGATGCTGGACTTCTTCCTTTCACAAAGATGAGGAAACATGAACTTCAGGAAAGAAAATGGCATGGTGAAAATCTCACTACCAGCCAGAGCTAGAGTTTGACTTCAATATCGCTTTAATCTATGTCCAAATTCTTGAAATTTCCTCTAAAATCTGTGTATTTTTTGCCAGACCCTTACTCCAAGTTATATTGATTTAAAATAAGTAAAGTAAGGTTCCAAAAGAGTAAATATATATTAAATTTTTTGAACAGTTATTCTGAAGCAGGGCCACTTTTGCACTCTAAGTCTTCTAGCTCTTCTTGTTGTAAAATCTAGAAAAATCTAAGAGGCTCTTTTGTTTCATTTCAGGTTTTATTTGGGCAGGAGTTTGATGTTATTATTTAAGTCATAGATAATACAGACAGTCAAAAAGTTAGGGTTAATACCCCCACAGCAAAATATGCATTCAGAAGAGTTTCAATATTAATGCCATGAGTCCTGAGGGAAAGTACATTGAGGACCATAAGCTTTGCTCATTCGTTTTCCTCATATTACCACCCTCTGCCCTGTCTCTCTCTGCACTGTGTGCCTGTGCACATGGAATAGTCTAACAGTATCCTGCGTTGTCTGAGCCCACAGCAGTGGCTGGTCCTCCCTCCCTGACCAGAGCTATGTATTGAGAAGAGAGTGTGAACTGAACTGATGTGAATATTTTTTCTTTTTTTATGCTTTAATTCAAGAGGATATCGGGGCCTTGAGAAATGGCTTATCGATTAAGAGCATTGACTGCTTGTGCAGAGGACCTGGGTTTAATTCACAGTACCCACATGGAAGCTAACAATCATTCATAACTCCAGTTCCGGGAGATCTGACATCATCTTCTGACCTCCATAGGCATTGCACAACACGAGGGCACTTACATATGCAGGCAATACACTCATGCACATAAAATTAAAATAAAATATTATAAAAGGGGTCAAATTGCCAAAACTATGCATTTGGATTCACTGTTTTAAATAATTAAGCACTCTAATATTCGTTGTAAAGGTTGGCATATGGAAAGTGAAAAGAAACTACACCAACTAAGTTTAATGGCTCTTGTAATAGTATGAGGTAAATTAATGAGAAGGAGGAAGGATTAAAGAGGCATATTGTATTTCCTCAAGCCACTAATAATAAGGTTCGACATTTTTGCAAGGATATTGCCAACTTGGAAATAGTAGATCAATCATGAATTAACAGGGGCTTCTCTCATACTGTGGTATCCTGTGTACTTACCCCAGAGCCACAGAATCGACCAAGACCCACAGCTTTTGAATCGAGACCATCAAAAAGTTCAACATAGTCATAACCACAGTCAGCTTCTTCTTCCACTTCAAAAGTCTGGAAGGACAATTCCAATCGAGAGCCTCGTTCTGACACTAAAAGCCATTCACAGTCCACCTGCCCTGGGTAGTTGTTGTCACCAAACTGAGCATGTGAGTACAGGTCTCTGGGTTTGGGTTCTGCTTTCAGTCGACCACCACACTCTGCCCAGGAAAGAAAAGGAAATAAAAAATCTTAGTGAGCTTCCACAGGTCCATCCTCCCTTTCAGTGGAGTCTAACCAACCTCCACTTCCTGTATCCAAGTTCAGCATCAGATATGTGCTTATAATTGAAGGGTCAGATAGTATCATGGATACTGGCGTGGGCCCATACAAGTGGTCTGGCTTAGGAGTTTAACTCACACATCTAATTATCTCTGCGACTCTGGGTAAATGAAGTCATGGCTCTGAGATATTATTTTCCCAAGGTTAAAATACAGATGATAACTGTACCAATGTTTGTGAAGTTTCGAAATATATTATACAACAGTCCATTAGGAGACCCCTTGTCACAAAATAATGCTCAAAGAAATTTTTGTTAATATGCGTAATGATGTTTTTACTCTCAAATAATTTTATTCAAGTAAAAAGCATAGAAATCAGGAACAAAATGAATAAAAAATAATGTGAAACTTTCAAATCATATAAAACTCATGTTCTATCATGTTGTATAGAACTTTGCGCATAGTATGTACATAATATTATTCAATTAGATAGGAATATTTATCTCACTTAATCAGGAAAAAAACTCATAATTAATAATAGAATCTGTTTTGTGATATTTGGTGTGTTTCCTATAAAAATATTTTGCTGTTTTATTTTCTCCATTTCTTTTTTTCTTTCTTTTCGGTCTTTTTGAGATAGGGTCTCCCTATAGCCACAGCTGTCCTGGAACTCACTATGTAGACCAGGCTGGCCTTGAGCTCACAGAGATCTGCCTGCCTCTGCCTCCCAAGTGCTGGGATTAAAGGCGTGTGCCACCATGCCTGTCAATTCCATTTCTTTTTTTTTTTAACTTTTTAAATTAAATTTTTGTGTATTTTATACAGAATATCTCAATTAATCTTAATCATCTTTATACCCCTTTCCATAGCCCCCTACTGGAATTGATACATTCTGTCATTTGTCTTAAGGCCTACTATGTCAAGTTAGTGTCCCCAGACATGCCTCAATGTAAGTTCATCTACTGAGGTCTAGTCAGTCTATCTAGAGTCTCACACTTTAGGAACATCAGCTCTTCTTCACCCAGCAGTAATCAACTGCCAATATTTCTTCAGCTGAGATTGTGGTCAGCTGTCCATTTCCCCAGTTATATGCTGAGTTTTTGTCTGTTTGAGTTTGTGTGGGCCCTGTGCATGCTCACACCACTACAGTAGGTTCATATGACCAGGGTCCCAGAAGCTTGTACGACTCTGGTTCCATATGGTCATGCACCTCCTCCTTGACTCTTACAATCTTTCCTCCCCATCTTCCACAATGGTCCCTGAGCCCTGGGTGGGTGTAGTTTAATATAGGATTCCTGTCCAAGGACCAGCATTCTGCAGACTCTTTCTCTGCACTTTGGTCATTTGTAACCTTTTCTGTTCCTGGCTCTCTGTTGCGTGAGGGAATTTCATTAATGAGAATTGAGATATTCATTAACAACAGCTACTTAGTTGGACTAAAAGCCCACTCAATGGTAGGAAACTCATGTGTGGTACTGTAAACACAGCCAAATACACATGGCTAGGGAGGCCATCGATCTTAGAGAAAACCCCAAAACTGTCACATCCCTAAACTAATTTAATTTCTTACTAGGTATAAAATATGTATCCTTATATTTACAGACAAATATCCAAGTCACCACTCATCAAAGTAGCCTATTTTGCCCCAGAAAGAAACTATTATAGAGCATACAGCTGGTCACACACAGACATTGTCTGTGAATTGCTCAAGTCTAAGTGGCACATCTATAATGCAACTTCTACACATAAGTCTCATAGAACATAGAACAATAGGTAAAGAAGACAATAATGCTATAAAAAGAATTTAAATGCTCTTTTTAGTTTTTCTTTTTAAGAGACATACAAATCAGATGCATTATGAATTGCTGTTGTCAGAGGAATTCATTAAAAAAAGAGCAGGAGCTGGATAGATGGCTCAGCGGTTCAAAGCACTGACTGTTCTTGCAGAGGATCTGGGATCAATTCCCAGCACCCACATGGCAGGTAACAACCATCTGTAACTCCAGTTCCAGGGGATCCGACTCCCTCTTCTGACTTCCAATGGCAGTGCACAACACCTATGTGCAAGCAATACACCCATACACATTAAACAAAAATAAAAAAAATATTTTTGAAAGGAAAGCAGTAAGCATAAAATGTTTTACTTATTATAAATTAGAGAATAAAATGTTCCCAAAAGTTTTCTTGGTAATTCTTTGTGATCAGAGCCCCAACTCTTTATAATAATAAGAGATTAGTTAGCAGCATTAGGTGGTCAAAATGGACCACTAAGGAATGCACCTGAAAGAACAGAGAAAGAATAAGATGTGGAAAGACTACAGGAAAGTTGGGTTTCTTACAGTCCTCATTTGCCAACAACTGAGAAGGATTCAGGCATCAGCCAGTATCCTCAGAATAAAGATAAATCCAGAAAAATCCTCAGAAAAATACAATGACTGTTGGTCACAAGACAGTCCTTAGTGATGGTGGGATGGGCAATGGAAAGTCATAGGTAGATTCTTCAGATTTGTGTTGATTAGCCTACATTCTTCTTCACTGATTTTACTTTTTAATTTATATTGTGTTTAAGTGTGTTTTTGTGAAGATACATGTGTATGTATGGTGTAGAAACTAGAGGTTGATGCTGGGTCTTCCTCAATCACTGTCCACCTTATTTTTTGAGACAGGGTCTCTCATTGAACCTGGATCTCATGGATTTGGCTAGACTAGCTGGTCGAAAAGCCAGAGGGATCCTTCTAGCACTGCCTAGAACTGTAAATTACCATGCCTTGCTTTACTTGGTTTCTAAGGATCTTAACCTATGTCTTCATGTTTGAGCAGCAAGTGCATTTACTGACTGAGTCATCTCCAGCTCCCCGCTTTCATGATATTAGATAATGAATATTTTTAAATCTGGGTTCATGGGTTCAGTCAAACCTAAGCATTGTCCCACTCAGCAGCACATTTGGAGATCTTTGTATCACTAACAAATGGCAGAATTTCCAGCTATAGGGCCAGTTCCAAAATGTCTTGCCCATAGGGTCAGGTACAGTATTTCATTTCATCTATTGACCTATCCAACTGATACAAATCATGCATGTCATGTAGGGAAACATTCCTGAAACTATTCCTGAATGCTGGAATTTCAATCAGTTTTGGAATTGCCTATCTTTAGACTCATAAATTGAAAGAGAAGCACTCTGCTTTCCCATGGAAATTCCTTTCTTAATCTCTCCCATAAGATGTCCACTCCTAGTCACAGACCTTCAAAGTCAAATTGCCTGGCTCCAAATCCAGGTTATTTCTCATGTTGTTCAAAAACTCCACATCCATTTTGTTTTTATTCTTAGTTATTTTATTTTACCTTTTTAAACTGTAGTTTTGTACAGTTGTGGGAGTTTTTGTTATTGTTGTTGTTGTTATTGTTGTTGCTTTGTTTTGTTTGCTTTTTATTTTTTGGTAATGTTTTGGTGCTGAGGACTGAACAAAAGATCTTGCATACAAACTCTGAACCCTGCCACTAGACTATACCTCCAGCTCCTAAATGGAGATCTCACATGGTACTCAAATCACAGGAGCTAGATGGAAAATGAATGATTAACTATATGTATTTTTGTTGTTGTTGTTTTAGGGTTTTTTTAAATTTTATTTTGGTTTGGTTTCTGAGGCAGTGTCTCCCTGTAACCCCAGCTGGTCAAGAACTCCCTATGTAGACCAGGCTGGACTTGATCTCACAGAGATCCTCCTGCCTCTGCCTCCAGAGTGCTGAGATTAAAGGCATGTACCACCATGGTTAACTCTATGTAAATTCTTGAATGGTGCCTGACACACAGAAAAGACATCTAATCAGTTGCTTTGAACTATGAAAACATTTGGTTGATTTTGAAACCCAGGAATATAAATGAACAACAGCTGGAAAAGTGTTACTTTGCTAAAAAGAAAGGAAAACATGCATTTTTAAGGCAAGTAAGGAATTTTGTGAAAAATATATTTCTGGACTGGAGAGATGGTTCAACAGTTAAGAGCACAGACTACTCTTAGAGAGGACCTGGATTGAGTTCTCAGCACCCACATGGCAGCTAATACCCATCCTTAATTCCATTTCTAAGGGATCTGACACCCTATTCTGACCTCCGTTGGCATTGCACACATGTGGTACACTTACATACATACAGGAAGAACATTTATACACATTAAATAAAAATTAAATAATTAATTAATATAGCTTATTTCAATATGTAAAGATGACCAGTTTGTAATTTATGGTTTTAAAAACTTGTGCTTATTGGGAGCTGGAGACATGGCTCAATGGTTAAGAGCACTGACTGCTCTTGCAGAGTGTTGGGATAAGTAGAGAGTGCCTGGAATGTAGAGCATGGCCGGCAGGCCAGATACCTCCTAGTGAGGGCAGCAGGAAGCTGGCCTGCTCCATTCTAGGGACACTGTCTCATATCCAACAACCCCCAAGTAAAACCATTAAGCCTCTAATCCTTTAATTTAACCAGGTCTCTTGTAGATTAGGCAACTGGAGGACAGGACAAAGACGACTTAGCTTTAGTAGCCCCCTCCCTCCCCCTACCTGCTGGCCTGCAGGAAAACCCAACCCTCGCCTCTTTGCCCATGAAGCTTTCTTATATAAATCTCTGCTTCTGCCATAATAAACGAGCTGTCCACTGACAGCCTCCCGGGTGTTTTTCTTTCTGTCACACTTGCCGCTGCCCGAAGCCTCCCTCCCCCAACTGGTCTCTCTCCTCACCCTGACTTTCTGTGATGGGGGCCAGTGTGCAACAGACTCCCAGTAGCAGTGTGGTTCGGTGGCGACAGCTCGTGCCCAACGTGGGGCTTGAGACAGGCTCACCGGGATGCACAGGAGGATAGTGAGTACTCCCCAAACAGAGGGACATTGGCTCTTAAGCCTTGGCCATCCTGCCCTGAGGATCGGCATTCTCTTCTTTCTTTCT